AAATGAAAGCTTCACGTCTTACACCAAACAGAATCATAGAAACACTACTATGTTCTAATATGCAGTTTGAAAAAAAAATAATAACTTCCCAAAATTAAACAGAGATGCGTTTTGTCCAACAGTCGACGCTGTAGCTACATTTTGGGAAAAATTCATTTTTGGTTTTAGGATTTTTTTAATATCGGAATCAAACTTATTTCAACGGCATCATTAAGCGGGATGAAAGATTTTTTTCAAATGATACTGGGAAACTTTCTTGTTCCCATAATCCTATCGTAATAGCTGGATCCATATAATGCCTCGGGAATTCGCACTAAATTGCATTCAGTTTAACTGCCTTAAATATCTGCCCTCCCCCCTCGTAACTTGAAGTACTTGGATAAAGTCAGTTATGGGAACGCAGTTTTAAACACCTTCCTTCTGATTTTATGGTCTTTTACGTTAAATTTATCTTTACTTCATTGACTTCATTGGGCTTTTAACCTACAAAGACGGTAACTTTTAAATAAACAATTTCCTACAATCTCCCTGATAACAATATGTAGGCCTAGTTTACATACTTCACAACAAGTTGCGTATTTTTGTAGGGATCAGTTCCTTATAGGGAGCTTTCCAACAGACGTTTTTCTTCTATTCTTTCAGGATTGAAAGAAGTGCAAAAGACTAGGACAAAGAAACCAAAGTCTGCCCTAGATTGATATGATCATACATGAGGCGTTTCAATATTTTAAGTCAGTTCGATAGCCGTCCTGGTATTAGAGAACATCCCAAAACCGAAAATGATATTTTTTTCCCCAAAAATTAATTGGTCTTTTCGGAAGTTTGTTTATTTGTTAAAACCAAAACAGCAAATTAGAACAGGGATATTTATATTGACTCTACATCACAAAAAATAAAGCAATTATTCCCAATGCTATTGCCAAATTTATAATTTTCCGACGTCAACGATATTTTCAGATTATCCAGTTACAGCACATTTTAAAACTATTTTTTGCTGTCAGGGATCTCTAAGAGACCATCCCCACAGATATTTAGATCGATCTAGCCGCCTGGGGAGTCTCACTAGATTGGTGTCAGCTTAACCGGCTTAAATGTCCCGTCTACTGAAAGCTGTAAGGGGGTAAATGACTTTCGTGTGCGCTTGGCTCCTGGAACAGAAATTTAGCGAGTTATATAGCAATTTAGGGAGCAAGATCGATCCACTTGGATCGATCTAAATCTGTGGAAACCCAGTCTAAGACCCCATTCCCACAGATTTTAGATCGATCTATCCCCGTGGGGAGTCTCACTAGAATGGTGTCAGATTATCTGGCTTCAATGTCTGATCAGCCTACTAAAAGCTGTAAGGGGGGGTAATTAACTATAGTGCGGCAGACAGCAATTTAGCGTGAATCCCCAGGGAGTTAGGTGGATCGATCTTAATCTGTGGGAACGCAGTCTAAGAGACCATTCCCAGAGATATCGTACTAACTTTGAATCGATCTATCTCTAAGGGGATTCTCACTAAATTGCTATCAACTTAGGCAGCTTAAATGTCTGTCACACCTACTAAAGATGTTAGGGAATAATTAACTACCAGAGGCCGAGCGTGCACGAAAGTTGATTATTCCCTAGTTGATTCGAAAGGCATGACAGACATTTAAGCCACTTAAGTTGGTAGCAATTTAGCGTGAACCCCTTTAGAGTTAGACTGATCCTGTTGGGCTGATCTAGACATGGGAACCCAGTCTTACACAGTGTTATAAATTAGGGAGTATTCAGATTCAAGTTAACATACATCTAGACATGGGAACCCAGTCTTACACAGTGTAATAAATTAGGGAGTATTCAGATTCAAGTTAACATACATCTAGACATGGGAACCCAGTCTTACACAGTGTAATAAATTAGGGAGTATTCAGATTCAAGTTAACATACATCTAGACATGGGAACCCATGCAGTCTTACACAGTGTAATAAATTAGGGAGTATTCAGATTCAAGTTAACATACATCTAGGCATGGGAACCCAGTCTTACACAGTGTAATAAATTAGGGAGTATTCAGATTCAAGATATCATACCAGGAGGATGGATTTATCTCTGTGGCGATTCTCGCTGAATGCAGTCATTGTAAGCAGTTAAATAGTGTAACACGCCACCTCGAGAAGTTGAAGGGAAAAGAAAAGTGATCACGCCAGCATGATGTAATGTGTATTTGTCTTTAACGTGTGAATGCAGCTGAACAATGTGAATGCAGCCGATTAGCAGCTACACTTTATCACCTATCTTATATGTGTGTAAATAAAGGCCGAGTGCCAGGTTGACACTTGAAGTTTGGGATTTGAACACAGCAGTCATGTTTGTGTCTACATGTCATGGTGGAGGGTAACCTTTGTGGATATGATTTTCTTCAAGTAGGAAGGTACAGTTTTATAGTACAATCATTTTTGGTCTTCATTTCGTTTACCTAATTGATATCGAATCAGTGTTTATTATTGCACTTTATCGCAGTGCATCGCTTACGTTTTTCATTGGAGTTAGTGACAATTGTAGATTGCTAGCGTGCCTTTTTGTGTTTTAGTGACCGTCTTTAATGAAATAGGAAAGACCCAACAGGAAAAAAAACAATGAAAGTAAAGCTTTCCATTCTGCTTGATGTAATCTGGATGCAAGATATCCTCTTTCGGTTTGGTAGCTTTATTTCTCCTTGTGTTCGTCTGAAGAAGCGTGGACCAGTTGTGTAACAAATGGACAATGCTTATTAATTACAAGAAAACCATATGTGCACATTACAGGCCCAAGCATAAAGAACGTACTGCAGGTTTTGTATATTTTGGTGGTCACCATATAGAATGGGTTGATAAGTATAAATAGCTTGGAGTTAATGTAGAATAATTTTTAGATTTTCAATTTAATGCAAAGTTTCTATCTGAATCTGCTACTAGAGAATTGGTTTGATTATGACAAAATAAAAAAGTTGGTAAAATGGGATTCTACACACACCAAATATTATTTAGCAGCTGTGTGACTCCAATTAATTTTAGAGCATGGGTCGGGGTGTTTGGTGATGTTTGGAAAATGAAAATAGTGGAAATGTACTATATGACGACTCAGGTCGGATACCACTGAAAGTTGTCAAATGGCTGAACATACTCAGATTTGGAACAGTTTGTTACTCATCCAAAATGAATTAAATGCCTGTGAAAAAAATCTCGAAGATTATAAATTGGGAAAAATGGTGTTCCAAAGTTAGATTCTAAGATTGTGTGGTATGAAAATTCTTTTCTTTTTTTAACAAATCAGTTGTTGATACAGAAAACATTAAGCACTTCTTCTCTGAAAAATTCCTAATTTATTAAAAAAAAGACATTTTGAAATTCCCTAAACCTCCGAACATATTTGACATTTAGAAAAATAACTAAAAACTGAAAAGTGTATACATAGATTTAAACAGGAAAGAAAATACATTATATACAGACACTATAATTGTCTGTATATATTCTGATCGGTCTCTCTGTCCGTGTCGTCGCTGTTGTTGCCACAAACATGACGCTGGCACCATAACTGACAAAAAGTTTTTTTTTTGTTTTACTTTTAACTTACTGAGTGTCTTTTTTTGATAAAGCAGCGGATTGCTTTGAAAATCAGCATTATCGGTTTACATTTACGGCAGGGCCGTAGCCTCCGGGGGGTGGGGGGGGGGGCAGG